CTTGAAGCTGGGAGGGATTTAGCATCATCCTGCACAAGGACACTCCAGCAGAGAAGAAACTTGCTGATAACTGGGCCAGATTTTATGTCTTCTCACTGGGAGATGGCTCTGCAAATCTAAGCCTTTGTGCCTATTGAGTTTTTCACATTTGTCATTCTCTTTAAGCTGCAACATCTCTTGGTCTGTTTTTTAATCATGCATAATATCAAGTATCAACTCTACAGTATTTCATCTGTGGAAATTAGGAAACAGAAAGATTGTTGGACCTTATTTTTGGGTGTAGAAAAAGAGTGTCTTTGGTGGATTATTCAAAGTTTGAATTGAAGTCTTTAATTGAAGATGGCTTTCACTGTATGTTTCAGGTCCTCTGAGTTCAAGGCCCTTAATTGATCTCCTCTGAGTGTACAGCTCAAATCAGGATGATCATCCCCCTGCCTTTCATGTTCACCAGCTTCGTTATGTACCATGGCAGCCGGGCCGCAGGGACAGCCGAGCCCTCCCGCTGGATGCTTTTCCAACCAATTATCCAAGATGGAATCCCAGCCAAAAAACTGTGTGTGTGTGTGTACATGTGTGTTTGTCAAACCCTCATTTAAGTCCATATTTCTAAGACCTTCACAGTAACCGACATAATGACTAATGGCAGGCTGAGCTGCAATTAAGGGTGTGTATCTCTGTCCGTTCAAAACCAATCAGAGCTGAATTGTTGAGGAGCCCACAAGGGCCATGAAGAACCATATGAAAGCTGGACATATAGTACACACAGTCACAGCTGACTGACAAAACTAACTTATCTACTGGCGCATGCACTCACAACATACACATCAGTATCAACTATTTGGTTGTTAAAATTAGAGATGAAGAAAAAAAAGGGTGGGGGTGGGTATAGGGGGTGGAAATGCTGCTGCTGCCAGCCGTGTCAGTTTTGTTTTTTTAAGGCACTTCAGTAAAAAGAAATTCTGTAAAGTACAGAGAGAAAAGTACTTCCTTAGATGGGATTTTTGGCCATGTTCATAACAGGAAGATTCATGTGTTTACAACAGAAATGAAATTTTACGATGTAGGTGAGGTTGGATTTATGCTCCATGGCGCAGTGGTTCACATGAGGATATTTGCAGTTCAAAAGAAAACCACAGACATACTGGAGCCTTGTATTGAGATGAGAGCTGATCTTTCTGTAGCATATCACCCCCTGCAGCAGATACAGATACTTTACATATCTGTCCATTGATTATGAAAATTCCTGCTGTGGAGTTTTTAATTGAAAAAGTCCCCCATGGAGCCATGGGGCTTTGCAATTTCTGCTCAAGTTCAAATTATTTTGATCCTTATTTTTAGGGGTAATGCAACAAGCACATAACTAAAACCATCATTGCTCCGACTTCATACATACTCTATAAAGCTGTATAAAAATGTTAGATGACATTTTACCACAGCTGAAATATGCCAGTCTGCTTTTCTTGAAATGATGTGATATGACGTGCGTGATCAGGTTGCCCCTGGTGTTGCTTTTTCTGTTGACATTTAATCACTGATGTTATGGGCGTGAACCTTTAAAGGACAAAACTGTGTAAAAATGCTCAGCTTCTAACCACTAACACTGATGATTTATCATTTAAGGTTTGATTTTGTTGCTATCTAAACAGATTCTGGGTCTTTTATCCTGAAGGCTGGTTGAGCCACTTTACTACAAGAGACAGGACATAAAAAAAAGAAAAGCTGTTCAGTAGGAAGAGACAGTGTATAAGGTGATGAAGAACCTGAGTGTTCTGAAATGCAACCAGCCAGACATAGTCGGAAATTGCTGTTTTGTATGTGTTGTATTTTCTTAAAGTGGTGACTATGTTTGCAGGTATCAGTGCTCGCTGCTCACAGCTAGGTGAGTCACTAAAGGCTGGTGTAGCCCAGGTCTTAGTCAGCTTAGGTGTGTGGGTCTACACTCACCAACATTACACTACACAGTCGCTTGAAAACAGAGGAAGATGGCAAAGTCTCAAGGCCAAGGGGAAAACTTGTATTTACTCTGACAATACCTTGTTGTTGACAATATTTTCAGCAGCCACACATGGATTGCCTGATGCATATGTGATTGTCATCAAGGTTTCCAACCCTGTTTATTAGGAGCAAATCTGGAGAAGTTACGAGAACAAGATTAAGGATTAAGTTCACAATAGGACCTCATTACTGAAGGAGAATGAACAGCTCTGCCTGGAAAACGAAAAAACTCACACAAAGACCTCATTTTGTCACTTGTTCAAGAAGAAGAGCCACAAATTAAACAGCGAGTGCAATGGGGGCTTTTTTTTCAGAGTGATGATGCACAAAATGAGGCGTTAAATGTTTACTCCCACGGGTGAGTTTTAGTCGTGAACCTGCAATTAGACAAGTTAGGAGTTATTTACAGTCTCTAAAGGGGACCTGGATTTGAAGACCCACAGGTAATACTCAGCTAAAGTGTTACCGCCATGGGAATACAGTAAAAGAGTAATATTTAAACAAAAAAGCAACAAAAACAATCCATCCGTTTTTTAAACCAGGCGTGTTTTTAAAAGCTGTTTGTTCCGAAGTAAACACACTGGTTTTGAGGCAGGAGAGCTGAGAATAAGTAAAATGACTGCCTGATGACCAGGTAGCAGCCAGACAAAAAGAAAAACAGGGAATGGATCTAAATTCACTTTTTTAAATTTCTAATTGCTTCCTGCAGTTTTTGACATCACCTTTATGGTTTGCTCAACCTTTGCTAGTGTGGCTTTCTTGTGCATTTCAGTCGCACCACGCTCTGTTACCCTGTGTCTTCTTTCCTTTCTGTTGTTTGATGAAGCTGTGAAGTCTTTTACTTTACTCTGCACTTTTCCATCCACACCTACGTGCCACAGCAAACCCTTTGAATGAAGCTCAGAGAGATTAAGCATTTTTGACACTGTAGCTATATCTGATGTCCACAAGAGAGGTCGTGATTGGATGACAGGTGTTTCTTGATGGGTGTGATCGGTGTATGTTTGGCAACATGCTGCGTCAGATCTCCTCTATGTTCAGTTATAAGGCTTTTGAATAAATATTCAAGGTTCAAACATGATAACAGAAACTCGTAACCTCAGTGATATTTGAAAGTTGGACTAGATATTATTCAGCTATTATTAGAAATCATTATTATTAAAATTTATATAAGTCACGTGCAGCTGCTCCATTTGGCCACTAATATAATGACCATGAGTCTTTCAATTCTGGCCATTAAAACATATGGACAGGTATATTTAAACATGTTATATGATTGATTCCGATGTGAGGTACCAGATTTTTGATTTTTATGAGAAAGGGGCTACAGTCATCAAAATTTAGACAAAAATATACTCAAATAATGCCACAAATATAAGAATATCTTAAAATCTTCAGTTTTGGTTTAAATAAATTACTTCATTATTCTCTAAGTGGGCTTTTACATCTACATTGTTTGGTCAGGACCTTGGTCTGGACCAAAAGAGGTGGTCTTGGTCTGGACCAAACTGAACCACGTTCTGGTGCATGTCCAGTGTGAAAGCATAATTTTGAAAGGTTCGGACCTTTGTACCAAAGACAGGAAATGACGGTAAAGTTGAAGTATCTGTTATTGAGTTGAATGGAGACTGTACAATAGCAGGAAATTTTATAATATTGTAGATAAAGTTATACCTCACTATTGACAGCTTATCTTTTCAAGAGTTCTACTTGATATACTCTTCTCCCGAGTCAGTGTTGCAGTGACTCACAAGATTGTATCCTTTTTTTCCTTTCTTGTCAATGTCTATAAAGTTGTTGTCTAATGATCAAATTCATGAGACTTCCTCGGACCAGCCTCATGTACAGCTCTCCAAGTCGTCGCTGTTAGAGGCAGAAAATCAAAAATAGTACAATGGTGGGAATAACAGGTTCATCCATGTTTACACCATTCAAGACCTGCGCTGTTAAACGTGTTGACGTCAAACACCCGGTGGCCTATCAATATAAATTACAGAGACATGCAAAGCACATAGTTGAGGATGATATCATGTAGGTTTGCCATGTAAAGTCTGTTAGTCTGTTTGCAATGATGACAGTGTAAAACCTAACAGACCAAACTAAATGTAGACGATGTAGGAAAGTCAGGACCTTGGTCTGAACTTTCAGGACCTTGGTCTGAACTTTCAGGAGTTAAAAGACCCTAAGTTACTGAGATTCATCTGTAGCAGCTGCAACAAGCTGCCATATCTAACTGTAACATAAATCAGTCAGTGCAAAACTTCATTTTTATTTTTTTTTTTAATTGTTTCCTTCCAGGGCTGAAGGGCTGAGTTAAAAATGTCTGATGTTCTTTGAGTCCTTCTTGGCTGGATCTCCCATTTCAACAACCCACTTTTGCTGAAAATGTTCACCTTTCAAAGACGTATAAAAGAGGAACCATTACGAAAAAAAAAAAAAAACAGGGTAAGAAAAGTTCAAATGGAAAATGTGCAGCAGTAGAAATGAACCCAAACACTGCACATAGAAAAATATGACCATCTCTATTTTATCTTCGCTCAACAGACTGGAGAGTGTCTCAGTCAAAATGAAGTATCTTCATTAAATTGTATAACCAGCATACCAGGGAGGGTGAATAAAGAGCCAAATAGGAAGAGAGGGACAGAGATGGAAAGCAGAATAAACAGAGAGAAAAGGACAGATTTCCCCTCGTTCATCATTGCAGGAAAGAATGAAAGGATGATTTAAAACTCATTGCTCAGAAGGAAGAGGCAAGTGAGTGCAGAAGGAAGAGAGAGAGAGAGAGAGGGAGAGGAGTCAGAGGAAGGTAGAGGGAGGAGGAGGAGGTGGAGAGAGAAAGTGAGAAGGAGACAGGGGTAAAAGAGAGACTTCTAATTATGCTGACTACCAGACCGAAACTGACAGCCTTTCCACACACACCTACACACACACACACACATAAAGAGGCACAGGGTCACAGGAAGATGTGGGGGGAAATAACAGATATGTTTGGATGTTTTGGAGGTTACTATGAGGCAAGAAAACAGGATATGGTTGGAGAGGTCAGAGGGGGATAAACTTCACCATGACCTGATGAAGTTTATCCCCCTCTGACCTCTCCAACCATATCCTGTTTTCTTGCCTCATAGTAACCTCCAAAACATCCAAACATATCTGTTATTTTCCCCCACAAAGACAGACATAAACACACACTAAGACTCAAACTGGCACACTCACAACACACAGGATAGACACTGATACGCACAAACACATTCTCTACACAAAATATCAAACACAAATATTTACACATGAATACTTGCTGAATCTTCACTTTTTTTTTTCTCCAACCAAAACCCACTCATTACTTAGCTTCTTGAAATCTTCTTATCATCAGATTGCACCTTTTTTCCTCATTCATTTCACAATTCTCAAGACCGAAAAGTTTAAACTGAGTGTCAGATTTAGTTCCAAATCATTTACGATTCAAAAAGTACAACACCTGCTCTGACTGTTAATAATTATTTAATGATACTGTATGATGAAACGAGCAGGTGTAGGACCCTGAGCTGATCTGAGAGATAACGCACCAAATACCCCACATCATTTTGACATCTTTTTTAGGCTAAATCATGTCGGCCCATCATGGCCATAATTTAGCCAAAAGTAAGATGTTTTATTTAGATCAGGAACGTCCAAACTATTCCACGAAGGGTTGTGTAGCTGCAGGTTTTTCTTCCAACCAAACAAGAGCAGCAGTCTGACCTATTAGCTGTCTGAAGACTGAGATCATCTGATGAAATGAATCAAATCTGGTGTGCTGCTGCTTGGTTGGAAAGACATCCTGCAGCCACACAGCCCTTTGTGGGATAGTTTGAACATGTCCTGGATTTGGTCCTGATTCAGCCCCAAAACAGATGTTGAAAAGTGGGCTTTATTTAGACGGTCTGAACCTCAACATTGTTTAGATGTATGGTGAGGATGTATTTTTTTCAAAGTCTTTTCAACATCTTTTCAACGTCTTTTCAACCACTTTTTGCTGGTAGGGAATAATCTTACATTTGGAGTAAGTCCCTATCATTGAGGACCACCGGCCACCCCTCCAAAAGTCCGTACAACCCCACTCAAAAGAGGTCTAGCTCTGTCTCTGGCTGCAGCAGCCTACCACAGAGGCATCTGGAAACTTTGCAGTTTTGCAAAGCTAAAGGGCATGTCTGCTCATACTGAAAAGATTTTGAATGGGAGGAGTACCACTTTAAGTAAGACATTCCCTCCCTGAAGACTTAAATAGAGATGCTAATTGGCAAACAGTGAAGGATTTGTGGTTTGACTGGGGAGATCCCAGGTGTGAATATATGCACTGGTACTAATGAGGAACAGGGTTTAGCTTAGGGAGAGGCATGCATGCTCAGCAAAACCTTTCCTGGATAAAAGCAGCTTAAAGACAAAGAAGAAAATCTGCTTCTTGAATTGAGTGGATTTAATGAACCCTGGCCTGCTGTATTGGCTTGATCTCTCTCATCAACGCAATATCTCATCTTGAATGTCTTAAGTAATACACTGCAGAAAAAAAACATGATCTTAACAAGTGGCTTATGTCCATGCTAAAACTATTTTCAAGAGTCCAATTTTTACAGTACAACCTGTAACGCATGCAACTTTTCAGAAATGCAGTCAGGGCTAGTTTTAAAATTTGATCTCACACATCATCAAAATGTTAAACTGCTGTTGCTACCTGTCAACACTTCCTGGCACTGATGGACTCAGGGGGTAACAGGTAGATTACAAATAATAAACTGCTTTTCGTGTGGATAAATAAAAAAACATGACTGAAGACCAAAGACTATGACCTTACATTCTGGAAAACTTGAAAAACCCGCCCTATGAAACTCAGCCTTAGCTTCCTCATGACTTTTCTAAAAGAAATGGAAACACTTGCAATACCATATAGCATTTTTTAACAATACAAATGCGTCATAAAAAAAGCTAGGTGCAGAGGAGATGCTGAATCACTGGGAAAGGTTATACTGTGGGGTCCTTTTGTGTTGTGCTCCTGATGTCAGCTTTTGACCTTTTTTTGGGAGAGGCTGCATCAGGCCACAGTGACTCATTCTAAATTTCTCTGGGTCAAAGCAACTCATCACCTTTGGCTGCACCGCTATGTCAGGGCATCATGGGATCTCCCAGAGAGCACTGTAGCATAAAAAACACAGCATTTTATGGCATGAAAGGTTGTGTGATGCACATAGAAGGTACCTTTCAACAAAGACAAGCTTTCCAAATGGACTTCAAGTGTCTCTCTATCCTCTACAAGGTATCTGTAAGACATGCACAAACAAAGCCTCTTCTATACGCCTTTAAATCTGCTGACAGACGCCGACTCCCTAAAGTCTTCAAATCAATATGTTGCAAGAAGCGCCACTTTTGTCAGTTTTATCATGTTTTTTTTTTCTTTCTATGGCCAGTGACTCACCAAATTTATGCAAATTGCGGCATTTGTCAATGTTTTGGTAGCTCTGATCTTTTCGTAGATACTGAAAAATCTGCACCTGCTTCTGACTGTTCAAAGTCATTGGGAAAATAAAGAACTCACATAGCTGTTGCTTGTAAATCACAATTTCAATTCATACTGCCTCCTTTATGGTCTCAATAGGCAGACATATTTAAAACTAGTTATTTAAACATGTCAGAAAACAGAAATATTACCTTTTTAGTTGGTATTAAGCCGACTGAGCTCCAGATTATGTTTAAATGAGAGTTCCTTGAAAATAATTAGTAAGAAAAAAATATATAACACAAGATGCAAACATAAGCGATGTAAAGTGTATGTGGTTCGCTGACCTTGGGGGATGTATGGCAGCCTGATTCTGCCCAGCAGCACAGGTGGCAACCATTAACGCCTCGTTAACAGTGTTGCCACAGTAACTTTTAAAAAGTGATTTTATTACTGATTCCAGATTCCTCCTCCTCTAAAATCTTACTTTTACTTTTAAGTTACTTTACTGATTATTGAATTTTAAAAGTAACTAAGTTCGATAGCAAGTTACTTTTAAAGTGATATTCAGCAGCCTCGACATATAAATGACAACCATTTTCTGTCCAACACTCGCTTTATTGGAAGAGTAATTTTAACAGGAATGTCAATAAATACTTTACAAAGGAATGTAAAAATACTTTATTTTTTATTTATTTATTTTTTTTATAAAGATTTTCTCTCTTGACTGACAAAATTTTATTTTATTTTTTTAAAAATAAAATTTTAAATAAAGAAAGTCTTCAAAATAGTGACTGTATTACCAGTTTGAGAACGCGCATCTCTCTCCTCCCTCCATTGTTGTTGTTTATGATCATTTTGTATGACGTGTGTGCACATGAATTATAAGTGAGTGGTCCCGTGGTCCTCATGCTGAAAACATGACTTGTCACCTAAGTGACTGACATCACTGCCCCCCAGACGAAAACATTTTTATTTATTTTTTTTAAGGGTAAAATGTAATGGCAACTGGTAAAATGTAACTAGTTAGGAAATAGCAAAACGTTAGATTACTTGTTACTGAAAAAAGTGGATTTATTACTGCTCATTAAGCATATAGCCTGTTAATGTAATTTTCATAGGATTGTGAGTAGGCCACACGTACTCACAATCCTCGTACGTTGGATTCACAAATGACTATTTGTTTTTTTTGTCTTAACATGGCACCCACAGGCTCTACATGTGTGTTTTAGGACTGTCATGTTCAAATCTACATACTGATTCATCAACATTTCATGAATGAGACCGAGTGAGTACAGCATCATGACCGTGTCAGTCAATGATACTCTATCATCGACTTATAGTTCTTTAAAGTAGTTAAGACTGCACATGTCCTACTATCGGCTTGATGATTCAGAGGAGGTGAAATCAATTACCGAGCTTGTCATTTACCGCAGAGAACCCTCTGATCAATTCGACCATTTTCTCATGGCGCCGACTTCTTCATGAGGAAACTGTGAGATTACCCTATCCTTCATTTGAATGGGACCCTCGGCGTCCCCTCAAGGTTGCAGGGCGTCCCCTGTTACTACTTGAGGGTGGCGGCAATGTCTCCAAATGACAGAAATCTGTGCGTGTGGGTGAGCATACATTTACTATATAAAGTATTACTGTAGCTGCAGCACTGTGATTATATTTCAGCTGAGGAAAAAGAGCACTTTAAATTCTCTTACGTCTCTCTGCCTTTTACTCTGTTTGTCAATTTCTCTCATTCTCCATCTCTCTCTCTTCCTCCACTCCCACCTCTGTCTGAACAATCTATGGGGACTGCAGTGACACCAGATTCGCTTAAAGGGCTATTCTGTCTAATCTCATTTACTCTCATTTATGATTAAAGAATGGCTTACCGAGTGGAGAAAAATGACCAATGAAATAATCATAGACATACAACCAGCCAATCAGTATTCAGATCACAGCAGCACATAAGCTCTATAGGAGATAAAATGAGGTGTATGGAACTACATGTGTGCATGAATGTGATGTTAGTTAATTTAAATACACATCTATGTTTTATGAGAATGATAGAATCTCGTTAATTTTTCTGAGGTGGTTTTAGATGCTGGAGAGGAAGACAAAGAGAATACAGAAGAGCTCGTCAAGGAAAAGAAACCAGGTCAAATGGATGACAGAAAAGGTGACCCAATGTGGAGAAACGAAAGGCAGGAAGGAAATAGAAAAGGACGAGGGGGCCAACCAGGACAATTGACTGTGGCAGGGATAGGCTTGGGTATTGAACCAATTGGGTTCCAAATTTGAGAGATTTAAGGTCCTTACACACCGGGAATGAGGCAAAATTACGACGCAAAATTATGAAATATTCAGAGGTGAATTTTGCTGCGCCTGACTATACACATCGAGCACCATGCGATTTTGTGACTTTCCAGGGGGAAAAAAAGACGCATAGACGAGTAGACTGACACAACACCAGACTAACTGTTTTTCAGTTCTGATTAGACACTAGTGTTGAGATGGCTGTCCGTCATGATAGCATGTACTGAGTCAGGGCCAGTGCCAGATAAGAACATTAAACTATAATCCATAAACGTAAGGTAACAACCGAGACCTAACGGCGCTGTGACAGCAACACAATTGAGTTTGAGACAGTGAAAATACATATGGTA